GTAGACAACCGTCAAATATCTCGGAATAAATCTTGACAAAAACCTAACCTAGAAGAAACATATTTCAATTAAAAGAACGGGAGCAGAACTGAAATATAGAAAAATGATAGTGAAGAACAAATTTCAAATACAGCAGATGTTAAAAAACTTATCATTGGCCTTAATAAGAGCGAGATCATTCCCTGTGGGGTCCTAATTTCAATTTAAGCATTATGTGGCTGAAGTGATTTAGAGGAATGGTACATGTTTAGTAATTAATACCATGGAGGAAATGGGTGATTTAGTTCTGCTAGGATGCGATCAGTTCTGTTAGTATGGTGTCAGAAAGGTGCGATTTCGCACACCACCTCGTTACGTCCACGGGTTAGCTCTGGGACACAAGCCACCGCGGCCGTCATGGGCCGGGCGTTCACTTGTTGAGCAGAAGAGCAGCGAGCCCCGGCAGATGGCACGGTGCCAGCGCTGCTCCTGGTGGGGCTGATGGAAACCAGACTCCTCCTTGTGCTCTCAAGTCTCGTCCTTTCTGATAACGAACCGCGCGGCGCCACCGGCAGCACGCGAGGGCCACTCGGTCATTTGGCTCGCTCCAGTTGCGCAAAGTGCTACGGTCGTCGGCGGGGACTGAGTGTCATTTGTTTTATGTTCGTTTTAAATGTTTAATGCCCCATCAGCAAGTTTATTAGTTGAATTAGTAGTTTCCTCAGAATGTTCTGTTAGGAATGTAATGTGATGAGAGCGGAAACGGTTTGGTCTTCACGGATTCAAATGAAACCACTTTTATGTTTGATTTCCAGCTGAATAATTATTTTGTGCTGTATGCGTAGGAATCATTGAAAGTCTCGAATGAACCAAAGGGAATGCAAGGCAAACGAAAACTTTTCCACCACTTGGTGTTATAACTCAACCACTTAATTTCATTTTTAAGAAAATGCATGGTTCTTTGAAGTTCTAAAATTAAGAGTTTAATTGCTCGGAGGACGAAATCTAAGACTTTAATATTGGAGGTGTGGGACATGTTCGAAAATTAATTAAAACGACTGCAATTTCCCAAATTTCTCAATTTTCAAACAATGTAGAGGGATGAAGTCGTAGGCTTCCGCGACCCGAGTCATGTGGGTGATCTGGGCTGTCCGGGTGACGCCGCGTCGAAGGCTGAGTTGCCGACGTTTCGACATCCTGTCGTGGTCTTCTCAGGGCTGGTAATCGCCGTGATGGTCAGCGCTCGTGTTTATATTCAAGTCAGGCCGTGTGCTATTGGCTGAAGCAGCTGCGGGCCAATCGGAAGGCCGCCAGTTAGCAAGCGCGGGGGGTCATTCGGGTGGCGCGTGATCTGGGACGGCGTGGCGCGTGAGTGGACACGGCGCGGAAAGGCCGTCAGCGGGGTCGGAGTGGCCCGGGGATCGGACGGCGCGAGCCGGTCCCGCGATTGGCCCGCCTGGCGCGCTGGGGTCGGACGGCATGAAAGCGGTCCGGTTCTGTGAAGCACGTGTCGCCGTGCCCCACGAAAGTAACGGCTTCCAAGCATTCGTGAAGTCGCACACCCTTGCGTCCCGCCGTTTGATATTGTTGGTGTCTGGCGATTCCATCGCTTCTTTAATGCGTCTGGGCCACCATCGGTTCTTCTTTGGCGAGCAACCCCTGGTGTCCTTCAAAGAACGAAATCATGCCCGGTTCCCAGGCATGCCTGAGCGACAGCGGGAGCGTTCGATATTCCCTGTGAAGTGTCGGATTGTGCTTCACGCCAGCCTTGTCCTCCACCGTTCTGCCGGTCTTCGCCCGATGTAGTTGCGGCCGGCAGCTGCAAGGTACCGGTACACTCCCGCTGTTTGGAGTGGTGGTAGCCGGTTCTTTGACCCGCATCAAAGTTTTGGCCGAGCTTCTGGTGGGTTTGAAGATGGTTTCTGACCTGGAAGCGCTCATCAGCAGTTTGCAATCTGTCAGTTTATCCTCTATGTAAGGGAGAGCCATGTTT